CGGGGGGGACACGGGGGGAGACTGGGATGGACTGGGAGGCACCCGAAGGGCACTGGGATATACTGGGATATACTGGGAGAGGATTTGACGGCACTGGGATGGACTGGGATATACTGGGAGAGGATTTGGGGAGCACTGGGATATACTGGGAGGGGATTTGGGGAGCACTGGGATATACTGGGATATACTGGGAGGGGATTTGAGGACACTGGGATATACTGGGAGAGGATTTGGGGAGCACTGGGATATACTGGGATATACTGGGAGGGGATTTGGGGAGCACTGGGATGTACTGGGATATACTGGGAGGGGATTTGGGGAGCACTGGGATATACTGGGAGGGGATTTGGGAAGCACTGGGATATACTGGGATATACTGGGAGGGGATTTGGGTATGGGCCATACTGGTCCATACTGGTCTATACTGGTCTATACTGGTCCATACGGGTGTCCTCAAAGCCTGTGCCAAGGACTGGGCTCATCCCAGCACCTCCCAGTGCCCCCCCAGTTCATCCCAGTTCATCCCAGTATAAACCCAGTTCATCCCAGTATAACCCTAGTTCATCCCAGGACCTCCCAGTTCATCCCAGTTCATCTCCCAGTATAAACCCAGTTCATCCCAGTATAACCCTAGTTCATCCCAGGACCTCCCGGTTCATCCCAGTTCATCCCAGTATAACCCCAGTCCATCCCAGTATAACCCCAGTCCCTCCCAGTCCCTCCCAGTCCATCCCAGTATAACCCCAGTTCATCCCAGTGCCCCCCCCCAGTTCATCCCAGTCCCTCCCAGTGCCGCTCCCTCCCCTCCCCCTCCGCACCTGTCGTGGTCGCTGCCCTTCCCCCGTAATTAATCCCTGCGCTAATTAACCCCTGCGGGCAGCTCAGCGTCCCCGCTCATTAATCACCCCAGGGTCATTAATCACCCCCTGGTAATTAATCATTCCCGGGTCATTAATCATCCCCGGGTCATTAATCATCCGCGGGTCATTAATCACGCCCAGGTCATTAATCATCCGCGGGTAATTAATCTCCCCGGCCATCAATCAATCAATCAATCAATCATCGCTAATTAGCGCAGCCACAGGTGGCCGGGGGGGGGAGGGGCGGGCCCGAATTCCTCCCGGGTCACAGCGGGCCCGGCCCAGCGCTCCCAGTTCGGACCAGTTCGGACCAGTCCGGACCAGTTCAGACCAGTTCAGTGTTCCCAGTGCTCCCAGTTCAGACCAGTTCAGTGTTCCCAGCGCTCCCAGTTCGGACCAGGTCGGACCAGTTTGGACCAGTTCGGACCAGTTCAATCCAGCGCTCCCAGTTTGGACCAGTCTGGACCAGTCTGGACCAGTCTGGACCAGTCTGGACCAGTCTGGACCAGTCTGGACCAGTCTGGACCAGTCTGGACCAGTCTGGACCAGTCTGGACCAGTCTGGACCAGTCTGGACCAGTCTGGACCAGTCTGGACCAGTCTGGACCAGTCTGGACCAGTCTGGACCAGTCTGGACCAGTTCAGTGTTCCCAGCGCTCCCAGTTCGGACCAGGTCAACCCAGCGCTCCCAGTTTGGACCAGTCTGGACCAGTCTGGACCAGTTCAGTGTTCCCAGTGTTCCCAGGCTGGACCAGTCCAGACCAGTTGAGACCAGTCTAGACCAGTTCAGTGTTCCCAGCGCTCCCAGTTCGGACCAGTTCGGACCAGTCCAGACCAGTTCAGTGCTCCCAGCGCTCCCAGTTTGGAC